TAGCAGAAATGCTTAGAAGGGTTTTAAAGTAAGGAAGGCCACAGCAAATCTGTGATTTCAATGACAGAGGAGATAGAGGTTCTTGAACTTCATCAAGTTCTCTGGGGCTCATTAGAACATTTTCTGGGGGATCTGGTGGCACTTGCCTGTGACCTAGCACTTGGGAAATAGAGGCAGAAGGATCTAGTATTGGAAATTATCTTGGGTTACACAGCAAGTTGAAGCCCAACATGGGCTACGTAAGACCCTGTACATATATATATATATATATGTAAAAAAACCTCAAATGACCAAAGAAATGGGCGACTCTAACTCAGAGTATGTGTCTGTATTTGTAACAAATGTAGAGGTGATATTGATGCTGTTCTCCAAATCACACTGCAGGAACTCCTAGAAAAAGTATTGCAAGAAAGCCAGGTGTGGTGTCACAGAATTTTAATCCTAGCATTGAAGATGCTGAGGCAGAAAGTTCTAGTATTTGAAGCCAGCTTGGCCTACATAGCGGAATCCTATTTCAAAAGCAAACAAAACCCAAACAAAAATACTGCAGGAGGGCTGGGTGTTGGGACAACTCTCCATAGGCAGTGATCTCAACCAAATGAAAGGGATGAAGGAGCTGGGATACTTGGTGGCTGCGGATGGATGGAGTACCCGGCAAGTATCTCCCTTGCAAAGCTGGGTGGACCCTAATGTCTGTCTTGTTGCACTTCCTGGCGCTTTACACACACACACACACACACACACCTAATAGAGAAGCATCTTCCTTGGCATTGGTTATGTCATGTTCTGACTTCCCTGTTATCCTTTGTTGGTACTTTCTCCCTTGGCTTCTTATTCATCACTCTCTGGACTCTTCCTCATTCCATGTCCCAGCACCTGAATGCCTGTCTACTACACCCTGAAACTAGTAGCAAAATAACCTACAGTCTTGGGCTGGAGATACAACTCAGTGGTAGAGCACTGGCCTAGCATGTAGAAAGCCTGGGTTGCAGCCCCAGTGATGCAAATTGCAAACAGTGTATTAAAAAGCCCAGTAAACTGACTTGGAGCCTTGTGGTTTGGTTTCTTTGTTATCTAGTTGGTCCATAAGTGCTTGGGGTAAGATCTGTCTTATTTAGTTTACTATCTCTCCCTACCCCCTTTCCCCCATGTGAGCACGTAGTAGGGATACAATAAGTATTTATGAATGAGTAAATAAGTCCTGCTTTCATTGTTTTTCAGTTAGTGAAGGTAGGCAAATTAACATCTCCAAATTTCAGTTTTGTGTATAAAATGGGCATTGGAATCTGGGCATGGTGGTGCACGGCTCTCGTCCTGGCTGAGGCAGGTGAATCTGGAAGTTCCAGGCCAGCCTGGTCTACATAGGAGTTCCAGGCCAGTTGAGGCTACAGGGAGACCCTGTCTCAAAAAGAACAACAACAAAAAGGGCATTAGAACTAGAATTTACCTCCTCCCGAGAGTTGCTTTGGGGATAAATATGATAACGCGTGTTTTTAGCACACGGCAGGCAAACATTAACTGCTGTTGTGGTTAGTACTCTGTGACTTTGGGCCAAACATCTACTGTGTCTAAACTTCATTACTGTCACATTCAACAACTGTTCTCCAGCTGGGCTGTTTGTGGGGGTCCAGTGCCTAGGAAGCTTGACAGAATGTTCTGTGTTAACTCTCTCCAAATCTCTGCTTTCCCACCCCTACAGACCACTGACTGCACTAGAGAGCTGAGCCTCTAATGGGGACTTGGGGAAACAGTGGGAAGGGAGAGTGGGGATTGTGGCCGAGCTCCATTGTTTAGATACAAAGGACATTCCTTTCAGTGTCCGAAGATCTCCATCCCATTAACACTTGTTACCCTCAACTCCTGTCTTCCTAAAGAGCTTAGTGTGGGCTAATATTGAGTAAAATACAACTCAAAAGGGAAATCTACTCAATCATCTAGTCAACTCCACACCAGTTTGACAGAGCTGGGTGCCTTCTTTAAATTGGCAATTTGCCTTATTTCCCCAGAAAGAGATAGGACAAAAAATGCTAAGGGTTTGGTGATGAGTTAGAGTCTAGTTTTTTTTTTTTGTTCTGAGACAAGGTCTCCCTGTAGTCCCAGGTGGCCTGGATCTCACTATGTAGACCCAGCTGGCTCCATCTCACAGAGATCCACTGCCTCTGCTTCCCAAGTGCTGGGATTAAAAGTGTGTTCCACCATGGTTGTCAGCCATGTCTTTCTATTTTTGCTTCATTTATTTTTGTAGTGTTGAAGATCAAATAAGGATCTTAATATATGCTAAAGCAAGTAATTGTGCTACTGAGCTACAACCCAGTCCTGGCCTCATTGTTTAAAATAAGTCCCTGTTCTTGTCCCATTGCCATTGTTTCCTCCTTCCTCCTCCTTTGAAATAGGTCTAAAATGCTCTCTAACCTTAAATGAAGAGAACCAAAGCCCCCCCCCTCCCCCAACCCTCTGGCCAAAGGTATCTAGTGATGTATTTCTAGATAGGTCTGAGGACCATCCTCCAGCATGTTCTAACCTAAGGATCATTTATTGTGGGGAAGAAATGCTTCAGGGTCCCTTAGCAGGCAGGCTAAAAAATAATTATTGACTGACATAATTATAGGTAATTGTAAACAAACCACAGAAACCCTCCCCCTCACGTTTTTTGTCCTCGTTCCCAAGCTTTGTGCCAAAATTTGTCTTAAAGACCAGCAGCAGAAGTCCTCTGCTTACATGCCCAAGCCATGAATGATCCAAGTACTACCCTGGGATTGTGAAAACTTTAGTTTGATTGTTTTTATAATGTTGGTCTTTTTTGTTGGCTCCAAATGGTAGTGTAAAATAACACTTCCTCTTCATTCATTCCATCCCTGAACAAAACTGTCCCAGGAATCCATGGTGGAAGCCCTCAATTCAGTGTCATGCATAAAAGACAGAGACAGTATTAGGTTATTCTTACATATTTCAGACCAAGTTGAAAGCTCCTCCCCTTCATCCCTACTCTTGATTATTATCTACAAAACTGATTGCACAATGTCACTGACCCTTTGGACTCTGCAGATGGGCTATGAGAGCCTTCCTGTGTTATGGTCAAAGTCAGACTGACTTTCTGGAAGGAAGCTGGCCTCTGTCCTGTTTTCAGGCCATTCTCTGGCTTGGTAAAACTGAGAGGTACCCTAATAGGCAGTTGGAATACTTCCATTCCCACAGCCAAACTCCCGCATCCTTAAAGTTGTTTCCTGATCATTTGGAACAGGGAGTTGTTTTCCTAGCTAGGAACACTCTCTCCTATTCCATGGGCTTGCCTGGACTTAGTGATTCAACCTAACACCTTCCCAGTTCCCAAGTGAGTCACTCCAGGGCTGCACTCCAGCAGAAGGCCACAAAGGGGCAAAGAGAGAACTATTTAAGTGCGCCCCCGCTTTTGCAACTCTTTGAACTACTCAACGTCTGGGGATTGTGCTTTCCTTTGAATTTAGGATAGAGGGTGTGACAGTTTAAAGCTGAGGGTGGGTCTGAGGGCCCAAAAAGGAAGATCAAAACCTAGACATTAAGTGCTTGAATAGATTATCCTAGGGGTCCAAGACAGTAATTACTTATTGGTCTATGAGTGATGGTGGATTAAAGTCCCAAAGACAGGCTAGAATTCTAGGGACCTTCTCTGAGTCTGAGACAGTGAGGTCATTTAAACAGTTAGGGTGCCTTCTACTTGGAGGCTCTACCAACCAGTTTCTGGTTTGGGCCATAGGTTTTCAGAAGATTGTAATCAATAAGACAGTCATTCAAACATGCCTTCTCATGGGCTAATGATGTGCATGTGTCACGAGTGTGTGAAAGCGCTTAGAAGAAGAGTTTGCAGTTTCTAAAATGACTCACAGGACAAAGCCTAAGTATGCTTTATTTTATGATCTGAACGGTAGCGTTTCCAAACTGGCTTCTTCCCAGGAACAAGCTGGGATCTGATGTAACAAATGGCTTAAGGTAGGAATGGGTGAGCTGTATGCGCTCTGAGTGAAAGACTAAGCAACAAACAAGAGGAAAAACAAAACAAAAAGTAAAAAGAGGGCAAGTGTGTGACTGGCTAGGTCTGAATACTGAAACTTAACTGATACATCCACTGGGATGGTGGCTCCTTGCTTTCACGAAAGGCCAAATTATTCCAAGTGGATGGGTTAAGAGTCCCTTGGGGACATGGATGGGTTATTTTGTGCCTCAGTTTCTACCTATATGAGGAAATAGTACCTCTTTTGTGCGATTACTACGGAGCGCTAACTCAAAGCTTAGAACAGTGCTTTGTACAAGCAGAGTTCAGGGCCTGAGCCCCAGCTGAAGACTTGGGCTGAGCAAAGGCTTTGTGGCAAGATTTGTTTTTAAGCAAGGGGCCCAGCTCTGCTTTTTTTTTTTTTTCCCTTTGTGTGGCCACAGATTAAGTTCTGCAACCCTCTGAGCTTTTTATATTTCCTCGTTTGGAAAGGCAGGTTAACCCTGGTAACATCCTTACCTGGGTTCCTCTGAGGCTTAAGTGATGATGGAGGTGAGGGGCTGTCACTGGGAGCAATAGGCAGACTCCTTGCCTTATACTGGGCAGAGTCCCTGGTTTGAAGTGATCAGGGCAATGGCTTGAGTTATCTGAGGGGAGATTCTGCCCACCCCCAGTCCTGCCCCTCTGTGTATACTTAACTGTTATCTGTAACCTCTTGTTTCGCCTTTCCCTGCCTCTAACCTTCTCACCCGCCTTTTGCCCTTTCCTAACTATCAATTCTGGCTCTTATCACCATCTGCAGGAAACATCTTATAACCCTGAGAACTGAAAGGCCTTGAGGCCCCCAGCCCCATTTTAGCAAAGAAAACCTGTCTTATGATAACTTTTCCCATCTTGTAATAAGCCCCTCTGCTAAAAGGGTCAAATTCTGTTAATCTGTAACTGATGAAAAGAAAATTGAGAGAAAAGAAACAAAACACAACTTAAGAGTTGGCTCAATTATATATTTGCCAATTATTTTATTTTTCTAAAAACAATAGAAAAAAATCAACTTTAAAAAGGAAAATGTACTTAAATAAAAAAAATTATGGTTTATAATACATGTCTTAAAATCTTGTATAACTGCTATAAACGTTTTATTAAAGTTATTTACATTTAAGGGTCCTATTTACATTGGAAAAGCGGATAAACTTTAAGATTTTTTTTTTTTTAAAAACAATTAAATACAAATCTGTTAAAGAAAAAAAGATGATGGGAAGCATAAAAAAAGTTCTTTTATGCCCAAAGTTTGAGGCAGTTAACATTGTGGCTGAAGCTTACAGTCCCAAAGACTCAGCCAAGGCTGTGAGGTTGCTCCTTGAGCACTTGAAGTCAGTCCATCGTAAGGAGTTCTGTTGGAACCTTGCTCCTTACTTTCCCTGGGTAAGGAGTGAGAATTCATGAGGGATTCCAGTTCCTGCTCGAAACAGGTCAACTTACGCACCAGAGTTTCGAAGCTGTTCGAGTTTGTGTTTCAACTGTTCTCTCCGCTTCCTCAGCAAGTCCTTCTCTGAAGTGAGCTTATGCTCCTCTGCCTGGATAGACAGGATATAGGCTGTGGCTTTTTTGAGGATGACTACCTTGGGGGCCTTCTCATTGTTTTCCAACTCTGGGATCTGGTCACGAAGGGCAAAAAAGCTCCGTTTCAGCTCATTTCTCCTCTGACGTTCCAAGACGTTGTGTGTCCGCCTCTTGTCGTTCTCCTCTGTGTCTGAGGACCTGGGGCTGGCACATTTGCGGTTGTTGCTAATCTGTTTCAGAACCCTGCCACTGTCCAACTTAGCCCTCTTGGCTGCTGGATAGTCCTTCCTCGTGGAGGGAGGTGCTGCATAATTGTGCTGATGAGTGGAGACATGGCACCTCTTGAGGACCAGTGGGCTATGTGGGGCTTTGTTGTGGCCTCCTGTAGATGACCCCGACTCGGACCTTTTGGCCGGGGGCTGCCTCTTTTCCACAGACACAACATCGATTTCTTCCTCATCTTCTTGTTCTTCCTCTTTAAAAAAGGAAACAAGCGATCACTGGGTTAGCAACGTTCCTTTAAACCCACCAACTATGATTAGATTCATGCTATGCAAATATAAAGCTTTAGTTTGCTAGAAAAGACTCTGGACAAAAGCAGAACCTGGTCTCTTCCCAGAAAGGCAGAACAGCAGCTAGGGGTTAGGGCATAGGCAAGACAATTGCCATGCACCAGGATGTGGCATCCACGCCAATTCATACCTAAGACTTAATGAGGCTCCAGGGACACACAAAGCAAAGCGCATTCCCCAAACCTATTTTTAAGGGACCTTACCAAGCAACCTTCAGGTGTTGCAAATAACTGCAAATCTGGTATGAATGTAGCAACTCCCTATTTTACAGGAAATGAAATAAAAAACCCAAAAACCTCTTGCAGCTTTGC